CAAACACAGACAGATTGAGAGTGAAAAGATATAGAAAGATATTCCGTGCAAACGGTAACCAAAAAAGAGCTGGAGTGGCTATACTAATATCACACAAAATAGACTTTAATACAAACATGTTGATATTGAATAGATGGCAGGAAAACAAGAGGAAACCTCTAACTTGTGGTTGACTGGAGCTTGGGGTAGAGGTTACAGCTAGAAATATACATGATGACAGGGACTTTGTTTTATCAAACTTTAATCCTCGTGCTAACTCAGAGCTTAGTGTATAAGAGGTATTGAATAAATTTTGGTTGACAGAATGAAGAAATTTATGTATGAACTCTCTCTAAGTCATTCCCATAGAAGTGATAGTGAAGCTATAATTTAAAATGAGATCTATGAAGAGTATAGAATGAAGAGAGAGCAAATAACTAAATCATGGAAAATGTGGGAAAGATTCATATTTATGAGGTGGGAAGAAGACTGAGTCATTCAAAGAGAAAGAAAGGCAAGAGTTGGGATTAAGAAAATACAAGAAAGTTATGGAGGGCAAGGAGTAGCAGACTTTCAAAAGAGTGCAAGACCAACACGTTGTATTAATATAGTGTATATATAATCTGTATATAAGCATATATAATCCATATACACACATTATATTACATATAATCAAAATAATCAACCACATACATGTCACTCTTTCAGTGCTCCACAGTGAAGCCTGAATTGGAGTTTTTTCTGCCTGATGAAAGGGAACACTTAATCCTTCTGATATCCTAAATAATAGTGTATATATAACCTTCAATAGCCTGTGAATACTAGAAATGGTCAGGAGAATCATTGATAAAAGAGGCATTGCCTATTTGCTCAGTGTTCGGACATCTCTCTTCTAAACAACAACTCTACTGCTTTCCCCTGTCTGTACTCCCTTAATGTATCCTAAGTCTTTTTCTTCTGAAAAATAGCTCAAATGTCTTGTATATATTGCAATAAAACTTGTGTTAAGCCAAGAAACAAATGATGCAAAGTGAATTTGAAGCTGGAGGATTTTAGCTATCTTAAGAAATGCTTTCTGCAGCAGGAACACTAATATCTGTCTTAAATTAAGGAGATGGGGAGAGGAAATGGAGAGATGAAATAGAAATTGACTAACATTTCATCAATGTATTCCCTACGGCTGTAAGGTAATAGTACCAAAATATCCTTATTAGTCCTAGCTTCTCTGGGTTTTCCCCTTTTTGTTCTTTCTTCTTGCTTGGATTGCTACCTTTGACACATTATGCAATTTGTTTTAGTAAGATGCATACCTTTGTGGTGTATAATCTATTTGCCACTCCAGTTTCTACTAAATAAATCAGTGCTCAAAATCTGTTTGCCAAGAATGAGAAAATGCTGCAGTTCAGATTTAATCTTTCTCAGTTGTTGAGTGAACATCTATCGTTCGAGTTGGTGTTCTTATGTTTTAGGTGGCCAACCTCCAAATCCCCTTCTTCAGGTGGGAGCAACTGATTGTGCTTTAGCAAACCTCCCTTCCTGCTTTTCAGGTCATGGGGGTCTAGATGTCTGACTTGAGAGGTAGTTACATGAGCCAAGCTTCGCCAATCAAATATTCTGGCTCTAGAATTTGACTCTCAGAACAGAATATCAGCTTGTGCAAAATGGTAGTAGCTCCCTTTTCCCTACAGTTGGCTGTTCAGAAGAAGGAGTCCCTTAGGTGTGGCTACACTGCATCCCAGAGCCTCTCTGGTTTCTGATCTTCCTCTAATTTACATTTTAAGTATTTTCTTTGGTTCTGAGAACTATCCAAATCACTTCCGATAAACCCAAGTTCGAAGTTTGTCTCTTAAGTTATCTTGAATGTGCTTCTTACAACCAAAAGGAAATGAATAAAAAAAAAACCTAACTAATATACTGGAAAACATTTTATTTTAAAATGCCAAACATAGTAAACTAACTATTCAGCACTACCCAAACTGAGGTCCACACTGAGGTGCCACTGCGATGGAGTGAGACCAATTTTTAGCAAACACTTCAGAATTTATAACTTCCAAACAAAGTTTTCCCATTCTCAGGATGCCTTGCTGGAAACACCTTCAGATGTCTGATTAATATCTTTATTCTTTTTAACACCGCTTCAATCCAAGGATGATTTACTTTTACAAGTCTTCTCTCATTTCTTTTACTCCTCCCTCACTGTCAACAGAGGGGCAGTATTATAATTTTATCTCAAAGCATTTTTATTTCTTTTCAGAGTAAGATATCACCTTTAGCAAAATTTCTTTTATTTTTAACACTTTAGTATTTTAGTACTTCATATCATACATTATCTGTACACTCATTGATAACGAGGAATTGATCTTTTTGCCCAAGACTAACCAATAGAAATATAGTGTGAGACACGTATAATTTTAAATTTCCCAGTAGCCACACTTAAAAAAGGTAAAAATCAGGTGAAATAAATTTTAATAATACCTTTTACTTAACCCAGTACATCTAAAATAATATTTCAACATGAAATCAATATAAAAATATTAATGATATTCTGCATTCTTTTTATACTAAGTCTTTGAAATCCAACACATGTTTTACACTTAAAGCACATCTCAATTCAGATGCAAATTTCAATCAGAAACACTAGGTCTGTACATAGATTTTATAAATTTTACAGTTGAAAAAGTAGATTCACATACCCAAGTTGTTCCAAACATAAAGTTTTCTCATAACTGAATTGAGTATTAGTTTTTAAATTAAATTAATTACAATTAACTGAAATTAAAAGTTCAGTTTCTCAACTGCCCTCGCCACATTTGAGGTGCTCAGGTCAAGTGGCTAGCGGATATTGTTTGGATCTTGTAGGTCCAGTGGAACTAACTAGGCACATGTGTTTAACTAGGTGGGGAGAGGTGTTTTAACATTTCCCAAAAACTTTTATTATTGAAAGATATAAGGACTTATGCTTGAGGTATGTTGTGCTTCATTGAACTGTGAGTTTATAGTTTTCACGGAATTGGGAAATTTTTCAGCCACTATTTCTTCAAAGGTTTTGTCTACCTTACTCCTTTCCCCAAAGACCCCCCCAAACCATCCACCACCACCATTCCAGGACTCCAATTACCTACATGTTGGGCAGGTTAATATGGTCTCACACCTTACTCTTGCTCTATTTTTTTTTCAGTCTTTTAGAATAATTTCTGTTGCTATGTCTTCAAGTTCACTAACTTTTTCTTCTGCAGTGTCTAATCAGATGTTAATCCCATCCACTATATTCTGTATTTTTCATTTCAGATAACGTATTTTTCATTTCTGGAATTTCAATTTGAGTATTTTTTTTTATATCTTCCATTTCTCTCTTTATCATGATCATGCTTTCCCTCCTTTCTCAAACATATGGAGTATATTTACTATAGCAGTTTCAACAAACATGTGGAGAATATTTATAATAGCTGTTTTAATATCCCTTGTCTTATACTTCCATCATCTATGTCATTTCTGAGTCTGTTCCTATTGCTTGATTTTTCTCCTGGTTATGGGTTGTTTTTTCCTGATTCTTTGCACACCTGAAAATTTTTGACTGGATGACAGACTTTGTGAATTTTATGCTGTTGGGGCCAGGTTTACTTTAGTTGTTTTCTTGTTGTTACTTGTTAGCTTTTATATTCCTTTAAGTACTTTAGAATTTTGTTCTGGGATGAAGTTAAGTTACTTGGAATCATTTCTTCCTTTTGAAACTTGCTTTTAAGCTTTTTAGGGTGGGCTCAGAACAGCCTTGAGTCTAGGTATAATTTGACCTCACTACTGAGGCCATACCCTTCTGAGGACTCTGTCTGATGCCCCCTGTATTTGGAGGTTATTCCACTATGACTAGTGAGAACACAAGCTATTCCTGGCCCTGTGTGAGCTCTGGCAATTGATCTGCCTACTTTTTCCCAGTGCTGTTTCTTGGCCTCAGTAGCATCCTCATAGATGTATGCAGATCAATTCTCAGCCAAAGACCTGAAGGGACCCCTCTGCAGATCTCCAGAGTGCTTGCTCTCTCTTTCTCTCTCTCTCTGTGTAGCAACCTCCATTCCAAGAGTCTTCTGCACAGATTTCCTCCACTCAGTAAAACCACAAAGCTCCGTCTGGGTTCCTCCTCACCTGTGAAGGCAGTGAGCAGGGGCACTGGAAATGCTCACTTCATTTGTCTCTCTCTTTCAGGAATCACAGTCTAGTGCTGCCTGTTGTCCAATAGCTGGAAACTGTTGTTTCACATATTCTGTCTGGTTTTCTAGTTGTCTGAGGGTAGAAGGTAAATCCAGTTCCTATTATTCTATCATGGCCCAGGAGATGTAAAAACTTAATAGTTGTTCATTTAGTAAATATTTATTGAATGCCTACTGTATAGAAGGAACCGTGCAGAGTACTGAGAAGAGATACAGTATTGAACTGAAAGAGATATGGTCCATGCCCTCATGGTTATGTGGTAACCATGCAGGGAAGAACAATAATAATTAAGTAATCATTCAAGTAAATATGCAATACAAACCATGATGGTGATAGAAGAGAAAGCAGAGTGCTATAAAAGCATATAAAGGGGAGACTTGATTTATTCTGTACAATCAGGAAAAGTTTCCCAAAACAAAGGACACTTTAACTAAGATTTAAGGAATAAGTAAGATTTGGTATCTGAGTTGTGGAGGGTGGGAAAACTACTAAGAGAACAGCATGTGCAAAAGGCCTGTGGCAATATGGAACCATTAGAGATCATCAAGTCCAACCCTTAGATTTCCCAATGAAGGAACAAAGGCTCAGAGTTTATGACATGCCAGTCATACTGTCTTAGTGGCAGAACAGGACCTAGAACCCAGGACTCCTACCTCCAGGTCCAATGCTCTTTCCATTCCCCTATGTCACAAAGCAAATGTAGGGAATACTATAAGATTTTATATAATATTTGTCATTTTATGGTCCATGATATATTATAGCCAATATATAATTTTGTAATTTACTTTCCTTTAAAAATAATTATGGCCAAAATTTTCAAGATATACTTTTAATTGCCTATATTTTTATGTATTTACAAAGAATATGCTGTAAATTGTAAATAAGTGTACAAGAGAGCACAAAACAGAAAAGAAGGAACATTCACACATTTAGCACACTGAAGCCATAACGGCATCATAATGGCCCGGAGTGTTAATGCAGCTCCCTAAGTGGCTAAATTATACCCAGGAGATGCCAGCTCGGCAGTGTCAGCTGTTAGTGCTCTCAGAAATTTTGGGTAATGCATCCATTGCCCCATTCCAAGCTTAATTGGCATAATAAATGTCAATTAAAGCTCCTTTAAGATTTTAAACTGCAAAACTTAAGTGAAACCATTTATGTATAGACTCATACAAGATGTCTCTACAAGTCTCTCCTAAAAGAGACGTTTTACATGGTGTATTTGCACTTACTGTGGGCCGCATCTCTTCTAACATGGATACACACAGCAGACGCATTTGCATAGAAAAGAGAGTGATTGTCTCCAGCTATTCTAAACCTATCATTCTTATATGGCTTATAAATTGTTATATGTTTTATATGTTCATAGAATTCAGTTTTCTTTCAACAAATATATAGAGAGCACCAATTATGTGCCAGGACTGGAAATACAGTAGTGAACAAGGTAGAATTCCCCCTCCCATCAATATAGAGGGATCTTCTGAGACAGTAGGGAGCCCCTTTCCATCCCTGATTCTATGTCTATACATGCCTCGTTTTTTAACTTCTACTTATGAGGCTTAAGACAATTATTCATCCAGTGTAATTATAAAACAGAGTCTCTGTTAACTTCCGAACTTGACAAAAATATTTTTTATGTCTTATGTACAGCTGTTAACATAGGTGTCAAAAAATTCCGTTTTAGCTTAAGTAGCCCAGGCTGACAATTGTTTGATATCATCATCTTCCTCTGCTGCTCTTCTGGAAGATGCTGGAATGTAAAATGGGAAAAAAATTAGTAATTGATGACATTCACACTTTCAGCACAGAAAACAAGTATGAATTATGTATGAAAAGGTGTACATTTATGAAATAAAAAATAAGTGCAAAAAGGGACGGACCTGCTATTACTTTAGGCAACTATCTGAGCACAAGTGATTGAGGTGGGGACAGACCTGCTCGGGATCTATGTGCAGTGGAGGACAAGCCTGGCAATCTACCCGGCGTTCTATCTGGTTGTGCTGGGAGGGAGGAGGAAGGCACATTTGGAAGTCGAATATTTGTCATCTTCTTATTTAATTCTTCCTGCTCCAATTCTTCAAGTTCTGCCATCAACTCATCCTGAACGTAAGAGAAAGAAAGAATTAGGGAGTTAACGTTTCAAGAAGTGGGTTTCCTCTAACACAATAACAAGAACACCTGCTACCCAATTGATATGTGAGAACCCAGTGAAACAGAATATTTATTTTAGGACTAAATCTTTTTTGCAACACTAAGCAATGATTAAAAAATGAATATTTTGTGTTGTGCAAATTTGTTGTAGTTAATCATATGATACTTCAGTAAACAGTTATTCAAGTAATTTGTGCTAGCTGAATATACAACTTCCACAGTTTCTAGGAAATTTACACCTTGCCTGTCATTTTTCCAATGTGTCTTTTCTTTTCTCCTGTTAAATATTAAGAATCTGTGAAACTTTAATTGGAGGAAATAAATATTTTCATTTGGGCTAACGCTATTGAAAATAAAACAACAGGTATAGCAAAACCACAACATATAGAAGGCAAAAAGAATCAAAGATACCATGGTTCCTGTGTTAAGTCATCAAAGCCAATACAAATCATGCTGTGCGTTTAGGGTAAGAAAACTTCAACTCAAGGTAGGTACACTGTATTTCTTTCTTTTAGCAATAGTCCCAGAGAGTCTGGTTTAATCCTAGTCTATTCTCTGTCCCAAGAACCTTACAGAGGTAAGACTAGTTTGAGACTTTAATGGTGTAAGTCACCTTATGACAGATCTGAGATGACTTGAAGTGGTTCAGATCTAATTGGCTCTCTGAGTCCTCAGGCCGAGTCCATCCCCCCAAGAGAGGTTGGGAGTCAAAACTAAATTTGTCATCATTGGAATTCTGAGGTTGTCACTCTCAGAAATAACCTAAGACACTCTTATGTTCAACTAAGTAGATTCTTCATTTGTTCATTCATCCATCATTGAACAAATTTATTGAGAGCTCACACCTGGTCAGGTATTGAACTCAATGCTGGGGATGCAAAGTTGACTCAACAGTCCCTACATTTAAGGAGCTTATGATTGAATGCGGGAGAAAGGCAAAAAACAAATAATTATGCTATATTAAAATAAGGGTGACAATACTATGGGCCAAGAGAGGAGATACTTACGCCAACTACAACATTTGATCAAGTCAGTGGGTATCAGACATGCAGCTAGCTGAATGATTGTCTGACCACTGTTAAATCTACCTCATGAAAAGGAAATAAAACATGAAAGGGTATAGCATTGGGCCATGTGAAATAGTATAGTCAGTGTAGTTGTGTGCTTTCCGGCTCTCCACTGGCTATATGAATAAAGTGCCTTCAGAATGAATACTCTGATGTCCTATTCCTACTCACAAAACAATTAGGAACAAATATAGTAAATATCGTAATGGTGGAACTCACTATCCTACACTGCATGTTTGCCCAGAATTGCTTAATAGTTATCAACATCACCAAAAAGGTATTATTTTCTTTAGTAAATATGACAACAACAGAACAATTATCTCCTCCATCCTTTTCAGCCTTCAGGCACCAAACACTTATTCAGTCATGGATAAAAGAATTTTAGAATTTAAGAAACTTTAGAGATAATCCAGTGATCCAGTAATTTTCCTTTTAGAGATGAGAAAACTAAGGATCAGAAAAGTGAAGGGACTTACACAAAATTTGGTAAGAAAAGGCAGAACCCAGCTGTCCTCATGAGCCCAGAGATCTTTTCACCGTATCATAATGCACTCATTAGATGCCTGTAAGTCTAACCAGGGCTTGGCAAACTTTTTCTGTAAAGGGCCAGATAGAGTATTTAAGGCTTTGCGGGCCATGTATGGTGTCTGTTGCACAGTCTTCTTTGCTGCTATTGTTATTGCTGTTATTGCGTTCTACAATCCTTTAAACACGTAAAAACTATCCTTAGCTCACAGGCCATACATAAACAGCCCATGGGAATGATCTGGCCTGAAAACCAAATTTTTCCAATTCCTGGTTTATATCATTTTAAAAAGGTGTTGACACCAAGTCTCATTTTCTGGGATTCCGTGGAAGTACATCTTACTCATCAGATGTATCATTCTTAATACCACATAGACGTAGGAAGTCAGATTCTTTTCCATGCTAATCCGAGAGCTGGAAACATTTCAAAATACGTACTAGTCCTACTTTCGGTGTGTTTTGAGTGGGACAATTGAAATTCACAGTGCAGACACAACCATTATAATTATAGTCTGTATTATTGGACTGATTAATCTAAAAGGAATGTGTGCATTAATAATGCCACTCCACGTTTATTTTGTTTTATAGCCTGAGAAATAAACAGAGGCAGCCTAACCTCTAATTTAACAACTACAGAGCATGATACGTCTGTTCCTTGCAGAGCGACACAGTCTGCTTTGTTTTGCCCAGATGTGCGAGCACTTCATTCCTCGTAATGGGGCTTCAACTATTAAAAGTCACTAACTTTACATAACCACATGCTGTTTTTCCTTAATAGCTGAAAACTTAATTAGGGGGCTGTTTCCCAAACTGTATTAATCTTTCCTTTAAATCAGAGCTACCAATACCTCATTTCCCTTTTAAGGGAAGTACATTTCTAACAAATATCATTTATTCTTTAGTGATATTTAAGAAAGTACTTAAGGAAACCTGCCTGCTATATACAGTGGGAGGCTGCCCTTTCTAGCAGCCACAATCCTCCATTCTTTATATTGTGTTACCCACCTCATCGAAGCCATCGCTAAATCCAATCCGCTGAGAAAAGGCTTCTGAGATTTCTTGGGCGATATCCTGTTGCTCTGTGATCTCTTGCATCAAATCATCTATTTTGTTCAGGTCCCTGGGAAATAATATTTTGTTGAAGTATTTTAAAATTTTATTTTCAAGTTATGAATTTAGATATAACCCCCCAAAATGAGTCAATTTAATATAAACTCTTAGTCATTTCAGTAGGATAACAAAAATTCCTGGTGGTAACATTCATCAACTTTAAAAATTAATAAGCCTGTATATGCATACATAGGGCACATGTGGGGCATATGTAAAATTTAAATATATGCTGCTATGTATCAACTCGGTAGGAAATGGTGCCATGGACCACCAAGGACCGCCATGACAAGATAAGCTGTGGCAGCTCCCAGCAGTTGCTATCTGACAGCAGCCTTTTGTAGAAACTCAACTCTGGAGTGAGAGATCTATTTTCTAGAATTCCTAATAGCTCGGAGATCCTGACTCCCTGAGAGCTTTCCCACAGCTGCTGAAGCCCTGGGAGATGACTGACGAGAGCAGGATTAGGCCCATGAAGCCCTCAGAAGAATCAGCAATTTCAGCAAAGGAATCCAGGAAGCCACAGGCCCAGGATGCACAGCTGCTTCAAAGACAGTTTCTAACACCTGAGCCCCACTGGCACCTAACCAGCAGCCTATGCCGTCAGCGCCTGAATGCCTGGATCTGGATTGTTTCTCTGGTATCCTGTCTCTGAATCATTCCTCCGACTCTAAAACTAGGCTAAAGTGAGTGGATATCAGAGAACTGACAATTTTCCTATTATTAAGTAACCTGAACACTGAAATTTTGATTCCCAATAGAATAAATCTTTTGCAAGTTTCCGAAACTCTATAGGTAGGAAAAGCTGAGTATTTTGACATAAGTTCATATAGTAATCAAAAAGAATACTTTTATCTTATTTCCAGTTCTTATATTTATAATGAATATACAAGGAATATATTTATCAAAAGTATGAGAAAGGTACAGCTACAGTTTGGGCCTGGGGGTGAATTTTTCTCAAAAGGAACACAATGGGATGCTCTGCTAAACTACCTGGAGAGAAAGGCTATGATTCTGTAATACATTCCAGCACCCAGCTTACAGCAATGATAGAGGATTTTGACTCTGTTAACGAATCTAATGATCTTTCTGAAGTTGTCAAAATGACGGCTGGTTGTCAATGAATTATCAAGGCAAGAAAATGTTAGCAAAGATGTCTTTACTGACCCCAGCCTCCTCCTCTCCCACCTTTTCCCATCCATGGAAACTTCTCCACATCCCTCAGGCATTCATTGCTCTCGTGCATCTTTGGCCCAGACTTCACTATCATATTTAATCTCAGGAAAGGGTCAGGTCCCAGGCATTGATTTCCCAGTGTGAATATATATCAAATTGTCACTAGTCCCATTACCACTATGAATATTGATTACCAATTCCTTTCTTTCTACCAAAAACTATGCTAAGTGCTGTATATCTAGCATCTCATTGAATCTCACAATAACCACATGAGGGAATACTATTATTATCTCCAATTTATAGATAAGGATGCTGAATCAGGGAGAAGCAAAGTAATTTGCCCCACAGCAGTTGATAGTGTAACTGGGATTATAACCCAGAAAATCTGACCCTCAAATCCATGCTCATAACTATCATTCTGTGTCACTGGCTCTCAAACATTGGTTAGTATCAGAGTCACCTGGGGAACTTGGTTATAAACAAAAAAGCCTAATCCCTACTCTTCTTCAAGGAGCCTGGGCATCTGTGTTCTCTTTAGTGTGATTTTGGTTCCTGCTGAAGTTTGACAACCACTATTCCATAGTCCTTACACCCTCACAGACGTCGACATTTAAGCCTTTTTAAAATTATGAAAGGAAAGCATTTACAGGTGGAGAGTCAGACAATAGCGAGGTGACTGGGAAACATTAAGGATGTAATGAATGTCTTTCATATTTCCATGGTCTTTTATTTTTGGCCATTATAACATCTAATCTTTCTGTGAGAGAGCATTCCATTCCAACAGGTCCAAGAGCCTCAAATGAGTAAGCCCATTCCTGCCAAAATCATCACAGAGTTCCAAAGGCTCTTCCCAACCCTGAGGGAATTTATGACTCAGAGGGAGACGGATGTCACTCACATGTTTTCATGAACTGCTTTCATCGCTTTTGCCGCCAGGCCCATGTTCCTTAACACCTCGGTGTTGCTGTGTGAGTTTTCCAGGGCTTCTCTTTGGAACTCAATGGTGGAAAGTGTGCCGTCAATCTGTGTGAGCTGCTTCTCAAACCTCTTCTTTCTCTTTAGTGCCTGTAATGCAGCTAAATAAGAGAGAAGCCACATTTATAAGGAGAAAGCCAAAGTCACTTCCTCATGAGACATTTGCTCAGCACCAACCATGGACTCAGCATTGCTGATACCTACAAAGAGGGTACCAAATAAATCTGAGAAACTTAAGGGTAACATCTTTGCTTTCAACCATCTGTACCAACTACCACTCCCTCAAACATTTAGTTATTCTTTTCTTCCCAACATCTGGCAAGTGTAAGAGAATGAGAAGTCAATTTTCATATTCCATAAAATATACCAAAGAAGCGTTTCTGTCAGTATAGGGTTTTAGAAAAAGGATAGACAAAAATATGAGTAAAAATCATGCAATAGAAAAATAAACCTTTAGAGGGAGAAAGGACTTTAGTGACTGTCTATTGTAGCTCCAATCCCTTATTTCAAAGGCAAGCTAACTGAGACCCAGAAAAGTTATGTGACTTGCTTGAAATGAGACAGAGAGTGGCAGCTGGAACCAAAACATAGGATGGCGAGCTGCATATCTTGGTCTGAAATGATTACAAGATGGCCAGTAAGGTGACTTCTAACCAAGAGTGTCCATGAAATCAACACTGCTAGTGTCTTACTCAAGGATTAGATGGCACACTGGTGAGAGAAAAGAGTGTTGCCCTCAGAGAAATGATATCCAAATACCCTCCCATGAGCACTTGAGCAAAATAATTTGCTTCACTCAGAAATCAAACAACTAACAAAGTCCTTCTGACTGTGGCACCTTGGAAGGCACTCAGAAAAAGACTCTAAAATGTGAGTTTTGATAAGCATTTAGGGAGAGGGCATGAAAAGAGCAGCAGAGAAATGTTAATATAAAGATAAGTGATAATTAAATAGAATTGACGAAAGAACTCAAATAGTTATGGTTTCAGAGCATGCGAGTTATCGCAACAGAGATTTCTGAGCAGCCTTTCTTCTGACTCTGTTTTAGTCCATTTCTTCTTGTATCTCAACAGATTTGTTTATTTATTCCAGTGCTTTCTGTTTGTTGCACAAAGACTCATAGCCATTATAGTTTCTTGGTGGATTTTATTGGTGATCAATAAGTAAATATTACTCTCTGTTCATTTACTCTTTTTTGCCTTAAATTCCATTTTGTTTTATATTAAACTAATATTTCAGCTTTCTTTTTTGTTGAAGTTTTCCTGTAATAATTTCATAGAGACCTCCATTTCAAAATTGTTTTTTATTTTCTCTTTTTTGGTATGCCTATTACAGATAGCATATACTTAGATGTTTCATTTGTGTGATTGCTTTTAATCATTCAGATAGTCTCTATCTTTTAATGTAAGATTTTAACTCACTCTTATTGTGATAACTGATATGTTATCTAATATGGTCTTTTTACTGTCTTTTTTTGTGTTTTTCATTTTCTATGCTTTTTGCTTTCTTTTTGCTTTCTTGTCTTTATGTAGATTGATCAAATTTTCTTTGTTCATTTTCTTCCCTTTTAACTGTCGGATAGTTATATATATTAAATTTATTCTCCTAATAGAGACACTTGAATTTAAAATGTATACATATAATTAAACTTAAGTTTTCTATCCATGTTGAAAATTAATCAGTATCTATAAAATTTATTGCCCCAAAATAAGATTCCTTTATCACCCCAACCTCCCAATTTTTGATTGAAATAATCTTCAATTTTATTAGTTCCAGATGATTACCAGGTTTTTTTAATTATCCTTTCAATTTTTAGGGAACTCTTTCTTAACAATTGCATTAAGCTTCATAGACACAATTTCAACACTTATTTACACTAAACTATAGTGTTTGCTGGCTTATTATCTTACTATTGTTTCTTGTATCTTACACTGTCCTTTCTCGGATTTTCTTTTTATTTTACTGGAGTAAATATTAAAGTAATTTTCAGAAAAGATGCAGAGATATAAGTTCTCTAAACACCTATAGGTCTGAAAATGGCTTCATTTTGTTTGAAACTTGAATAATAGTTTGGATTTTAAAGAATTCTAGGTTCAAAATATTTCAAAAATTTTAAGACTCTATTCCATTGTTGTTGGATAGCCAACATTTCAAAAGTTTGATAATAATATTATCTCCCTCCCTTTGCAGAAGATCTGTTTGCTTGTTTCCTCTCTGGAAACACTTAAGATTTTCTTTTATATCTTGGAGTTATGATATTTCACGAGTAGAGGTGCAGGCACCCACTTTTTATTTTTTGCTTTTCCCAACTAAGCATTCAGTGAGTATTTTTATTCTAAGAATCAAGTCTTCCTTCAGCTTGGGGAAATTATCTTCTTTAAATTTTTTTTGTTACTTCTTTCCCCTCCATTATTTCTGTCTACTTTCTTCTAAAATCTCTATTTATTCTTATATTATAAGCCACACTTCTCCCCCTCAACCATTCTCTCTGTTTTCTCTCTTCTAATATCCCAATAAGATGGATATTGCAGTCCTTGGATCTATCCTCTAATCTACTAGTTTATCTCTCTTTTTGTTTTATGTTCTGGGAAATTCCTTACCTCTGTATTCCAGGTCACTAATTTAGTCTTCAGCTATGTTTAGTCTACCTTTTTACATTTTTCCTTCTTTATTTTTTAATTTCTAAGAACTTTTTCTTATTCTCTAATTGCTCATTTTTATGGCAGCACATTCTTGTCTTATAATAGCCTCTTGAATCTCCCTGAAGATACTAATACAAGTTTTGTTTTTAACATTTTTTATTTTCTACATTATCTCTCTTCTCTTGGGTTCAGTTGTTTGCTTATCTTGAGCCTTCTTTTCCATACAATTGCTTTTCCTCAAAATTCTTCTGATTTTCTATTATAGGTTCATATTTATAAGTGTAAGACTAGAATAGTTAGTATAAGTAGCTGTATCTCTTGTTGATCTGTAAGTATGTTTTCCCGTGAAGTTTCTCTCCTGAAAGAGAATGCATCCCAAAGCTCTGTAGAAGAAGGCGGGGCATGCCCACAGGCAGGCTTCCTTCCACCGGTAGGGAGCAAGTAGACAGGCTGGGGATTCCTACAGTCACCAAAGAAAGGCTTTATTTTGGGTGTGGATGATTTTTCTATATTTCCTTCATGAGTGGTCATTTTTCTTCCCCACCCCTCCCTGCCCGCCATAGAGGTCCAGGGTTATCTCAGGCTCTGCTCTGCTTCCCTCTCCAGGTGAAATACCACTTGAGTCCTTGCTGAACACCACTTACGCTTTATTTATACAAAAGTTTTTATTTGTTTAATCTGTCCTTCAGGAAAGAACTAAAAAAAAAAAAGCCATCTGGCATAAAGGCCTTTCTACAACATCACACTGTAGGGAGGCTCATTACATTACTGACCAGAGCTGTGTAAGGGTTCTCTCCCATACACAGAGAATGGCCAGTTGACCCTCTGTGCTATCACTCTGCCTGTGAATCCATGTCTACTGCTGCATTTATCACACTGGATTATAATTATTTGTAAAATCTGTTCTACCTACCTCCCCTACGCTAATTAGAAGCCCTTTGAGGAAAGATATAGCAGGCTATTCATCAGTTTTCCCAGCACCTGGCCCAGTTCCTGGCATATGACCAACAAAACACATAACAAAACCTAACATTCATTGAGTATTTACTATATGCCAAACTGGTGCTAAGTGCTTTATGTGCACTGTGTCATTAACTCTGACAAAAACTCCAAGAGCAGGTACTATCATTGGCCCATTTTACAGAAGTGAAGTGAATGAATATTAAATGAATAAATGTGATAACTTTGTGCACTATGACAGCATGGTCTAACAGAAAGAGCATGTCCTTCAAGGCCAGAGTGTGAGTCCTTCTTTCATGACTTAATAGATGTATATTCTTGGGTAAGTCGCTTCCCTTCTTTGAGCTTCAGTTTGCCCTTCTGGAAATGGAGATATAATCCCGATGAGGGTGGGTGATTGTTGTAAGAATTAGTGATAATTTATGGAAAACACCATATACAATCCTTGTGCATGGTAGGGACTTAGCAACTAAATTTTATTATTAATAATAGGGATTTATATAATATTCATTAATTAATGAGACTGTATATCTTTTTCTGAGATCATCGAGCAACAGGTTACCCGTTTTTTTCACCTTAACTCATAACAGAAACATAATATTACAAAACAGCTCCACACTTCAATAGGTGCAGTACATAATACTATTCAGCAGAGTATCCTCAGAAGCTAAATTCCAAATACACATCTCCACCCAACATACCCAGAAGTGGAATGTTCAAAGTGTGTCTCCTCCCTATCTTGTCAGGCCAGTTCAGTGTCTATACTTATTTGGAACCTAACTGGTACCTATGACCCAAAAGCATTTTCCTTTTTAAAATTTTTTGAAGTTCTCTATTAAAAAATACGCCATATTTCCCAGTAAGAATTGATCTTAGATTACTTTCTGAAAATCAAGAAATGCAAGTTGGTATAAAGGATAATATTATAGAGTCACTAGACCTACATTTTAATCCTACCTCTGCCAATTAATAACTGTGCATAATAACCTTGGTATGTGACCTTAACTCTTTTTAAGTGATGTTCCCTCACCTGAATGATGATAATAATAACAACAACAACAACAATACCTAGAAGACTACAACAGAACATTGTGCTCTGGAGACAGGTTGCCTACTTTCAAATCTGGGCTCCATCTATCCATAGATACGTGCCCTGACCTAAGTTGCTTATCGGAAAATACGGATATCACTCATTTAGTGGTTCAGGATTAAATAAAATAACATATGTAAAGTGTTTAGTGCAGTGCCTGGCACATAACGAGTGATTACTAAATATTACAGATCTTCATCATCATCATACCTTCCTTCACAGGGTTGTCAGAACCACATGGTGGGAGCCACAAGGTATAATGCCTAACCTTGAAAATACTTGTTATTAATAATAATAAGTTCTAGTTTGAACACAGTTTTAAATGCCTATGTTAACATATGGTTTCTGCCCTTGAAAATATTTGGGAGAAATCTGAAAATTCACCAAGAGTTGAGATCTCAGCTTACAC